TTCATACCAAAAGATAAATGTAGCAGTTTTTGGTGGTGTAATTGTGACTGTTACAACATTCATACCAAAAGATAAATGTAGCAGTTTTTGGTGGTATAATTGTAATTGAGGCTGTTGAATTACTTAGCCACACCAAACGTCAACAATCTCCACCTTGGCGATAATTCAAACAACAAATCTCCCTCTTCAAATGCCCCAAGAGCATCAAGCATCAAATGAAACAAGACCCATCAAGTCGATGCAAGCATCGAACTTGGATGATGGTAATGGCTTTGTCAACATATCTGCAGGATTCTCAGCGGAAGCTATTTTGTTGACCAAAACATGACCATCCTCAACAATATCACGAACAAAGTGATAACGCACATCAATGTGCTTGGTCCTCTCATGAAACATCTGGTCATGAGTCAAATGTATGGCACTTTGACTGTCACAATAGATCACTGTAGCCTCTTGTCTACCTGTGAGTTCACCAACCAAATTTTGTAACCATAAAGCTTCCTTAGCGGCATCAGCCACAGCCATATACTCAGCTTCAGTCGTAGACAAAGCAACAGTCGACTAAAGTGAAGCTGTCCAGCTAATAGAGGTACTCCCCAAAGTGAAACAATAGCCAGTGAGAGATCTCTTCCGATCAAAATATCCAGCATAATCAGAATCACAATAACCGACAAACTGCTCTGTAGATCTTCCAAACTCAAGGCAAAAATTAGATGTACCTCTCAAATACCTAAGGATCCACTTCACGGCTTCCCAATGAGCCTTCCCCGAACAGGACATATAACGGCTCACAACACTGACTGCCTGAACAATATCTAGACACGAGCATACCATAGCATACATGATGATACCAACAGCACTAGAGTAAGGCACACGAGCCATATAGACCTTCTCCTCATTAGACTTCGGTGACTGCTTCGCCGATAATTTGAAGTGAGCTGCTAGAGGAGTGGAGAGAGGTTTGGCATCTAACATGCCAAAACGATCAAGAACTTTCTCAATAAAGTTCTGTTGACTAAGAAACAGTTTCCCGTTCTCACGATCACGAATAATATCCATACCTAGAATTTTCATCGTTGGACCCAGATTCTTCATCTCGAACTCACTGTTCAAAAGAGACTTCAACTTCACAATTTCAGACTTATTCTTAGAAATAATGAGCATGTCGTCAACATATAATAACAGATAAATGAAGGAATCATCAAAGAGCTTCCTGAAATAAACACAACTGTCAAAGGCACTCTTGGAATAACCACTAGAAGTCATAAAAGCATCAAAGCACTTATACCACTGCCTTGGAGACTGCTTAAGGCCATACAAAGACTTCTTCAACAAGCAAACATTGTCTTCCTTTCCTTCTACAACAAAACCATCTGGTTGTTTCATATAAATCTTCTCTTTCAAATCACCATGCAAGAATGCAGTTTTAACATCTAACTACTCTAAATCCATGTCATGCATAGCTACTAAAGCAAGCAAGGTACGAATAGAAGAATGTTTAACAACAGGGGAAAAGGCTTCGGTATAGTCAATACCTGCAACTTGACTGAAACCCTGTGCCACTAACCTTGCTTTGTGTCGAGCATCCTCAACACCAGGAATACCCTCCTTAGTCATGTACTTGCACCCAACAATTTTCTTCTTTGGTGGTGGTGATACAAGCTCCCATGTGCCATTCTTTTCGAGAGATGCAATCTCTTCTTCCATGGCAACTAACCACTTACCACTGTCTAGACTGGATATGGCTTCATCGTAAGTGGTCGGATCGGTAGTGCTATCTACCTCACAAGCRATGGTCAATGCATAAGACACACAATCATCAAATCTGCTTGGCGGTCTTATCTGTCGCCTCGGTCTATCTTTGGCAATAGTGTGCGACTCCTGACTGGGCTTAACATCATCCGATGTGATTGGTTCATCTGACTGAGAAGGCCGTGAAGAGGGATTGGGCTCCACCTCCACCTGTATCCGGTCATCTTGTGATGTACCTAAATCACCAATAACAGAATCCTCCTTCCTTGGAGATAACATGTGTGATTCATCAAATATAACATCACGGCTAAAAATAATTTTCTTGCTTGAAGAACAATACAACTTGTAACCCTTTACACAGGAGCCATAGCCCACAAAAATACATTTCTTGGCTCTAGGTTCTAACTTCCCATCGTTAACATGAGTATAAGCATGACAACCAAAAATTCTTAAAGATGAATAGTCAGCAGGAATACCTGACCAAATCTCAAATGGAGTCTTAGCCTCGAGAGCTGAATACGGAGATCGGTTCACCAAATAGGTTGACGTGGAAACTGCCTCGGCCCAAAAAGACTTATCCAAACTTCCATTGGACAACATGCAACGAGCCCTTTCCAAGAGTGCGCTTCATCTGCTCTGCCACACCGTTCTGTTGTGGTCGACCAACACAGGTGCGTTGTCTAACGATACCTTCCTTCAAACAATAATTTGTAAAGTCAGACTCACAAAACTCGAGCCCATTATCAGTCCTCAACCTTTTAATTTGCCTCCCTATCTGCTTCTCAATCATAGTTTTCCACTGCAAGAAGACTTCAAACACATCAATTTTATTTTTGAGAAAATACACCCATACCTTTCTAGAGAAATCATCGATGAATGACAGAAGATAATTTGCTCCACCCTTCGAAGAAACACGA